GAACAAAACAGCCCCCAATCCTCTCAGCTTTCCCTGGTGACCCACCGGGCATGACAGAAACACCCTCCTCCCAGCAGCCTGGCATCTCTGTCAGGCCATGCGGGTGCTCTAGGAGGGGTTTCTTGCTTTGCCCCAGGCAGGGTGTCTGGGGTACTTTTATAGCTTTTTTCCAGGTGCCTGATTTCCAAGTCCATCTTCTTTATGGACATAGTCTGTGTTTCCAATTCTCTGATAATTATTTCCGAGAATGATTGGGTGTCTGAGAATTCTTCTTTCCCTTGTACCTTGAGCCGGGTGATATCTGAAGAGCACCCCTTCGTTCTACCGTACCCCAGTGTGGGAGGGAGGGAGGGGAGGGGAGGGGAGAGGAGAGGAGGAGACAGGAGAGGAGGGGAGGGGAAAGAAGAGGAGAGGAGAAACATTAATGTGAGAGACACATCAATTGGTCTGGGACCAAAAGGAAGATGTAGAAAGAATGGTTGTGAGAAAGGCTTATGATAGGGTAAGGATATATGAGGCATAAGACTAGGGGCAGAATTTAGACAAAAGTACCTGAAGAGCCCATGTAAAGGCCACAAAATGAGAAGATAACAACATCAAAGTCTGTGTCTCCATATGAAGTGTAAGTCTCCTTATGCATGTTTCTGTGGGAATTTCTCTAAAATTTTCCATGTTTTTTTCTTCCTTTACTTAGGCCTCTACCACTGCCTCCAAATTCCTCTGTATTTTTCCTTTCCTTTCACTGGTAACTGGCCATCATTAGCACAGAAGCATGTTTTGTATCATTTTAGATATTTAGGGAGTAGTTTTTCAGTGTCCCTCATGGTTAAAAAAGTCAGAGATACTTTGCCCATGTGCTAGTCAGCATGTACCTACCTGCCCTTCTGGCCATGCTATATAGGGCTGTTGGGACCCAGATTACCAGGAGGGCCTTGGTCCCTAATCAACAAGGAATTTAAACCAGAGGCTGACATACATTTTTAGTCTTACTTCAGTTCTAATACCACTTGTCTTCATTCATATTTTTGTTGTTGTTAGTCCTCACCCAAGGATAATTTTTCCATTGATTTCCAGAGAGAGAGGAAGGGAGAGAGAGGTAGGGAGAGGTAGAGAGAGAGAGAGAAGGGAAGGGATGGGAAAGGAAGGGAAGGGAAGGGAAGGGAAGGGAAGAGAAGAGGGGAGGGGAGGGGAGAGGAGAGGAGGAGACAGGAGAGGAGGGGAGGGGAAAGAAGAGGAGAGGAGAAACATTAATGTGAGAGACACATCAATTGGTTGCCTCATGCACACGCCCTGACTGGGGCTGGGGATTGAACCTGCAACCCAGGCATATGCCCTTGACCAGGAATAGAACCCATGAAACTTCAATGCAAGGGCCGATACTCTAACCACTGAGCACACCAGCCAGGGCTTCTTCCATATTTCTATCCATTCAGAGCTTTGTATTTCAATCCTTGGCCTAACAAACTCAAAGAGCATGGATCTGATCCGTTTCAAACTGAAATAATCTGACCAAAAATGGACTTTAATAATAATAGTAACAACAATAATAACAGTGATTGACATTTATTGAGTACTTTGTGCAAGATGCTTTTTTACATAGTATTTTATTATATACTAGAGGCCCGGTGCATGAATTCATGCACAGGTTGGGTCCCCTGGCCTGGCTGGCGTTGGGGGCCAATTGGGGCTGCTGGAGGTTGGCCAGGGGGAGGGGCTGTGGGAGGTTCTGATTGGGGCCACCGGGGCTGGCTGTCCGAGGGGAGGGGCCATGGGAGGTCAGCTGACAGCGGGAGGTTAGCTATGAGAGCACACTGACCACCAGGGGGCAGCTCCTGCATTGAACATCTGCCCCCTAGTGGTCAGTGCGCATCATAGCGACCAGTCGACTGGTCATTTGGTCGCTTAGGCTTTTATATACATAGATGTGTTATATATATGTTATACATACTCTATATATGTAGTTACTTGATTCTGAAAACAACACTAGGAAAAGATGATTAGCATTAGCTTCATTCTAAAGATGAGGAAAGTAAGGCACAGAAATACTAAGTAACTTGCACAATGTCAAATCACATGCTGAGGAGCACGACGATTGAACTGAGGCAGTTAAGCCACAGAACCCAGACTCTCAACCACTATACCACACTGCCTCCTGAGCCATATTGGGAACAGTATGCACGAGCAGATGGAACAGAGATTAGAGGCAGAGACACTATTAGTAAGTATTCAAAATGGCCGGAGAAATAAATAAGGAATGCGTGTTTCCAGGCTTGGTGAAGAACAGTGCTCATTGTGTATTGAATACACTGCAAATTTTGTTCTCTGCTCCCTTTAGCCAGTTGAAACATATCCTTCCTATTAGAAATGTTATCACTAAAACTGTTATTGTAAAATCAAGACCCTATGAAGGAGGTGAAGCTATGGTGGTTGTTCTCTTAACAGAAGCAACAAATCAGCACACACTGATGGTACTAATAGAATTTGATACAATAATAAGTGTGAATTTTTATGAACAGTCACTGATAGACAACAGTTGAATCTCCATTAAAGGATTTAGGTGTGTAAGGAAATGTCTTGGATAACTAAGGTTAGAAATCATAGAAAGCACTGAGCAACATCCCCAGCCACCGATACAATTATTAAAAGGCTCATGTCTCATAAAGGCACTTGAGAGGGCCTAAGTGATATAAGTAAATAAAACAAAAAACTCAGCTGAAATGTATGTTTGTTTTTAGTTGTGGTCCCTCGCAGCATTTCTTTGTTTTATAATTCATCCCTTGAAGTGCTGAGGGATGCTGACCATGGTGTTG